AATATAATGTTAGTTATAATGAATAGTGGCGTAGCAATAAGCTGTCAATTTTACTTTATTAGTTGTTCCACAACCGTCATTGTTTACATTTTTCATCGATGTAGTTGCTTAATTGTTATCGCAATTTCTCTTTTTTTCGATTCACGCACAGGGCCGGCTTCGGATTGCAACTTCGTCTGGGTTTTTTGTTCCTTTAATCATGCTGCGTATTGCAAATGGTTAACACCCTCCAAAGCTTACTAATTATTTCAAAAGCACCCTGTGCAAGTACTTTATTTACTACAGAAACACTATACATACATACTGTCTATTTGTCGATCAGTTATTTATATTACGTATCACTACAGACACCTCACTGTTTAATTTTCGCGTTTAAGCGACGATACAGTACCTGTAGAGCACGAATCAAGTAGAACCTATGCGGGTAAAATAAGAGAAATCCCAATTGGACTAATTTGATTACTTAGATCATATTTTATTTATTAGATACGTTTAGATTAAGTATGAATTTTGACTTGATTAAAAAAAAATACTAGATTTGGTTTGCTGGGATTTTTAGCTTTTTAAGATTAGATTAAAAAATTAGATTCGATTCGATACAACTCGATTTGTTTGCATTTCCTTAAAATACAAAGTCAATTATAATGTCTAGCTTGTCAAAACAAATTTCTTTTTATGTTTACCCGTATAAGCTCTGTTTGACTTGTAACTAAACTCTGGAGACAAGATACCTTCAAGCGGCAAAAATATGCAGTAAGAAAGGTTGTGTTTTTTGATCGGAATTTTGAGGGCAATAATATGAAAAATCCAGACGGTTTCGATTAGTGCGTGGTCCTTTCAGATTTCTAACTTCTAGCTACTTTTTATATCTAAATTACTCTATTGTAAGGCTAGGTTTTGGTACGAGTAGTAGAAATTAAAATATAAGTGGTATACAACGGCACCTATCCATCCAAATCTGAAGGGGTTCAACAAATTAATTGAAGCAATTTACTAGTTTTACGAAGGGATGTAGTTCTATTTTCCTTAAAACAATTTTAGAATTAACAAACTAGGAAACATAGTTTAACGTCTTAATATTGGACAAAATAGGCCAAAAAATAACTAGTAAAAGTAATCACAAGGTTAACTTACACCAAGGAAGTACAGACCTGACGCTCGAAGCCGGCGGAAATTTTAAAATGGCGTGGATACGTGGTGTCAAAAGTAGGCAGTTTTATTAGGTATAACAATTGCAACCCTCTTTCTTCAGTATTCCTATCAGGGGAGTACAGTTAAGACGTTCAAAAGTGGCATACCTAGTTCCCTATAAAATTGTCGCAATTACTTTCTTATTTCAAATTACTAAATAGACTAGAGCGGTTGCTGACAGAGCGCCTACTTTTACTCACGGCAGACGTAGGAAATATCGTGAATAGAAAAGAGATATTAACTAGGATATGCAGCGGATACTAATAAAGAAAAAGGAATAACTTTACACCAATTAATGTGTAACAGAAGGAGATGCAAATAAGCAGAATTTGAGCACGTTGCCAGCATTGGACTTTAATGAAAGTTCAACATTCTCAGGAATTCAGAAAAGTAAAGACGCTTTAAGCATAACTTAACAAGGACGTGTTCAAAACGCAGCAAATGACTACAGTCCCAAGTGGAAACAAGAAAGGAGATACGTCCATTCTCACAAATAATTTATTCCCAATTTCGATAGTCTCAACTATATTAAACTACATGCAGTATACTTTATTAACCTTGAGCATAACCATTAATGATTAACTAATACACATTTCCCCAACTGTTCAATTTTACAGGAAATCATTAAAAATAAGCCGAAACCAGTTGTTGCATTTTATATAGGACTATTAAGTCATGAAATGTATTTCTTGATAATATATTTTTTTTGACTGATTTTAGATATCTAGGAAGTCAGATAAATCAGGATGAAAGGAGTAGTAGGGATATAAAGCAGAGGATAGCGCAGGGTTGTGTCACCTTTAATAAAAAGAAGTCACTTCTATGCTCGCGATCGCTTAATTTAGAAATTCGAAAAAGATTGTTAAAGGTGTATGTTTGGAGCGCGGCGCTGTACGGGTGCGAAACATGGACAGTGGGCGCGGCGGAAAAGAAAAGGTTATAAGAGTTCGAAATGTGGTGTTACAGGCAAATGATGAGGATAACGTGGGTAGAAAAGATTAGAAATGAAGAGATACTAGAAAGAATAGAAGAACAGAGGAACCCAATGGAACTCAATAAGAAATAGGCGAGATAGGACACCTTCTCAGGCATGAAACTCTAGTCAAAGACATAGTAGAGACAGAAACAGGAGTTAGGAAGGGTAGGGGTAGACCTAGGTTAGATTACTGTTCGCAAATAGTTAAGGATGTGGGTTGTTCTATTTAGTTTTAGGGAAATGCGAAGTTTAGATCTGGATAGGAAAGATAGATAGATAGACCTTATGATGATGATGATAATGATGATGATCTAAATATACTAAGCATGCGAAATATTCTAGAAAACTATTATCTATGAGTTTTAGTATCATAAAAGGTATTATTCCAATATTTGTGCACGTCAACAACTAGAATTAATTAATGTAAGGTCCGTAAAATTATAGGTGTAAAAACCCCTTTTTCTTGAGCGTTAGAAATAGAGATTCAACTAAACTTTTGTCATGTAAAGACCACAGAGATTCAATTAGATTCTTGTCATGTAAAGAACACAGATTCAACTAGACTTTTATCAAGTAAAGATTCGGCAACTAACTTTTGTAAGCCTTATTGTTTGATTGTATTACATTTTAAAGTCCACAGTACTACTTTATTTTCAAATGGACTTGACATAGTCCATGAGGTTGCAACACTGCAAACGGAATTTGATATTTGGATGTTTCTCAAATACATTTACATTAACAATTACTATGCTACATTTTATTTCTTTATTAAAGTTAAAAGCTAAACAACTTATTTTATTGTTTGTGTCTAAATACATGGCAATAGATATCGTAGTAATGTGCATAGACACTGCATTGTAAATATTTAGTGACATTATTTCTGAGCTTATTGTAGTAAAACTGCCACAACGCATCCGGATAATTGTTACACAAGAGCAGGAAGTCAATCGTACTTTCATATAATTAATGCAAGGGTTACTACAGTTATCTTACCTATTCTGTGTGCTACCTATTCAACCGTTTACATGTACACTGCTTGCACTCTACTGTAACTTATTTAATTATGTCGACAAAGACATCGTTCATGCAAAACGGCTTCCGCATCCAAGTTTTAATCGATACAGAAATTCACATGTTTACATAATGTTCAAATGCCTATCGCATTGTTCTTTAAGACCACATTCAAAATATTCTGCGTTGGCCTTACAACACACTTAACTATACAAATACAAATTGAAACTATGCAAACTGGAACTGCAAACGGGAGGAGTCTAAACAAAATGGCGCCGATAAGCGAAATGTTTTCGTAGTTTATATATCGTACCGCGCAATTGTAAACTTTTTAATTATATATAATTATTACCTACTATTGGTACAAAATGTAAGCTTTTTTTTTTTAAAGTCCAACGCTTTTGTAATGCCGATCATATTATAAAATTTAAAGAAAACAAATTTGAAAATTAACTTTTACATGCAATTAATTTTAGTGCTTACTGTTTACAAACAGAGCTAATGAAAAGATGATGTTCATGAAATAAGTGGTACCAATACAGGGTATGGTAATGTAGCGAGTACGAGTATGTTTGTGTGCGATCGGACACGTTTGCGTGAACGGCTTATCGATTCACCGACTAGCCGCGGGCGCCTTTCTTCATGTGCGTCGTATTTGTAAATCTGTGTGTCGTACCTGCGTTCTGGGAAAGCAGTTAAACAGTTCAAAGAAAAACTAAACGATCTGGATGTTTCTAGAGGGTTCCCGAAAGTAAACAAAAGAGTATTTAAAAGAAGAGACGATCGCCGAGAAAAAAGTAGAAATAAATTGACCGTTGCAGAAGTAAAGGAAGAAATAAATTGACCGTTGCGGAAGTGAAGGAAGAAATAAATTGACCGTTGCGGAAGTGAAGGAAAATAAATTGATCGTTGCAGAAGTGAATTGAGAAATAAATTGATAGTGATAGCAGTGAAATAAATAGCGCAGTGAATGGTGATACATAAATTATTAGTGTAAATAAATAGTTCTGTTGTTATCAGTCTTAGAAGTTACTTTTGTTAAACCCACGAACGTTACAGTAGAAATAAAAATTTTTGCTCATGTATTGTTTGCTATTTGTCAGATTAAATTAACTAGGATTCAAGGTGCTCATGTTACATCTAACCTGTAATGGTTGTTTTTCTTTTAATACTTAAACCTTGTATATATTTGGCCATTCGATGTGCAGTTCAATAAACTGATTCAGCAATACAATGTCAATCATTGGAGTAGGTCAGTTGTCACTGTAGAACTGTTGTTGTTACAATGATGAGACATAGTACTTATTTACGCGTTTGCATCATTTCGTCGCTGCATAGAAGACAACTCCCAAAATAGTACACGCGAAATAGCAACTCTTCTCAAATTGTAGAAAATTTTAAATCAACAGTTACTGCATACTTATCATTTGCAGCAAGTGCAAGCCTTGCTTGAAACTATATGAAAAGTGCTGCAGAGGCTAATTTGAATGTTTGAATACTTTGAAACCTCTCTTCTACAACGCAATTTACTTTCGAAAAATTTTTGTAATGCACGTATGTATGTGTGTTTAGTTGTTGTTTATGTTTACTACAGGTATAGGACAAGCGGCATTATTTAGTTTACATTCTATCTATAATATGTAACTGCTCAATCCTTATCATAACTTGTACTCAAAGATGTAGTTGCACTACCGCTTCGTTGCCAAATCATGCCCAGGACCGGCTCCTGATTAACTTTAAGTATTTTTGCCCCTTAACCATGCTACTGCACTCATCATTGCATCTAGTTAACACCCCCTTATTTCAGAAACGCCCTGTATAGGGGAAAGTTGCCAAAATCGTACTACTTAAGCAAAACTGTATAAAACACGAAACTGGAAACGTTATATATAAAAGTAACTATTTCAAATGATAGTATGATGCTTATTTAATCACTTTATAATACAACAAGCGAATAAAAATGTTTATTCTTCATGCAAATTACACTTTTTGGAAACATTGAAAAAGTACGATTTTAGAAACTGGCATCCTAAATCGTACTTCATCGTCCCCTAAATCGTACCTTTATAATTGTCGTGTCCTATCATGCCTCTATAATAAAAAAGATAGTTAGGATATACTCCTTATTATATATTTATTGACTTTTATAGGTACATTAAAAAATACTTTAAATTATGCCCACAAAAAATGACAATTAACAACATTTTTACATTAAAAACGTTTAGGACATAAATATATCTTTTAAAAATAAAACATAAATTTTCTTATTTATTTCTTTTTTTAAAAAACAGTAAAGTTTGGAATTAATAAGCCTGACGGATTCGCGCAACATACAAGTGTAGTGTTTCTCTTTCTTAGCTAACCCCTCTACCAATTCTTTTTTTTTCCTTTTTCAGCAATTATATTCGCACATTTTTTTTGAACTGTAGAGAATCCCGACTCATCCATATTGAAGATTCTGGAAGCATCAATCTCAATGGATCTCACAAGAGTTTCCAATAAGTCAAAAAATAGATTTACAGCTTCTCTATTGAAGCTTCTAGCCCGGCTTATAGAAGTATTCTCAGGCTGTCTTACTGAAATATTAGGATGTCTCTTTAAGAAACAATAGAACCACTTTTTTCCTACAAGCTGCATTGTGCGGCTAAATTTATGTTGTAAATTATTTTTTTCCGTTACTTGATAAGCCAAACTCCTGATGTCTTTAATGCTGAGACCAAAAAAATGATGATTCCAGACAGATAATATGTTGAATCAGTTAATCTTTTACATCTTCAGGGAATGTTGTGAAATTTCCATTCCCTTTTCTTGACGATAACGATTTTTTTAATGTACCTACCCTCAAGATGTCTTTTGAAAGTAGGTTTTTTAGAACGATATGCCTCAATTGCATTCTTCATGTTCTCTTCAGTCCACTGACAATAAATTCTTTTCGGCATGATTTCTGAAGGCGAAAAATATTGCAAAAGAAGTTGCAGTGTCTGCATAAGATATAAAAATCCAGCCAATTGCATAAATCGTACCAGTACAATTTTAGAAACCGCACAGAGGTACGATTTAGGACATTGTACACTGTATTTTTAAATTGGCGGTTATTGTAAGAATAAGTTATTAAACCTAGAATTTGAAGGAGTAAATATGTAATCTTGATACACAGGCTTGTATTAAACATATACTTTGCTTAGTAAAAGTTGACAAAATATTACATCAAGCTTACCTGATTTTTAAACACAGCTATTATTCGCACATCAGACACGCACATGTGTAAATTTTTGGTGATGTTACTAAAACATTCTACTTAGTATCAAAATATACCTCTAGATAGCATTTTTGTATTTATTTTTCAGGAAAATTGCATGAAGTACGATTTAGGTGACCGGTACGACATATGCAACTCTCCTCTAATAAAATCTACATATACTCCGCATGTAGTTCCATAACTGATCTACCCGTAATATATCAATAATATTACAACATATAAATTTTTTGAAGTGTATAATTTAAATGTTTAATAGATATAATTCTTACCTTGGTATTCGATCACTAATGCCCATTCCTAGGCCCGAATCTTCGCTTGGTGAACGGTACTCTTCCTCATTGTACGTTCCACCGCTTGGAGGCAGTTCAGGATTCGGTCCGTAGTCCTAGAACCACTGAGTATGTAAGTTTGTTCGCTTCCTTTTTTTCTCTTAGTAGAAAGACGAGTAGAAAATTACGTATCCTGTTACAGAGCTGGCCAAATACAGATGTGTGTGCTTACATTATGATTGTTATAGTAAAGAAGGAATAAAGTACAATGTCCTAAAGTTAGAAAGTGTTAAAGCGACTGTTGCACTATTAAAAGAAAGGGAGAGCGTAGCACCAAGTATTTCTATCACTACTTTTTTTTTTGTGAACAATAAAAAGGTACGTCTCTAAATACGTTTATGTAGAATCAGCTGAATGTGTGTGAAAAGAAAGAAAAGACTTCTACTGCGGAAAAAGATCTCTAAAAAGACAACGATTCAGAAAAGATGGTTTATGAAATACGACTTACCGACTCTTGGAAGCCCGAAACATACAGACAGTGGTTGGACTCCGGATGCGGTAGTCCTCCTTTTCTCTAAAAGCAAATCGAATTGTGTTACTAAAATAAACTACCATTTCACTTAAAATAAAGCCTAATTAAATAAATAAAAGTAAATAGTGTAAAAGAAGAGCAATAAAGGGGACTAAATAAGTAAAAGAAACTGACCCTTAATTAAAAAACACTTTCTAGTGCTTTGCCAAAAAAATGTTGTGGTAATTAGGAGCGACTTGTTTTTAATTAGTATTGTAAAATTGTATCACAAATCTATGTCTGTAGTACTAGATCGAAAGTTATAAAACTTGAAATTTTGACATTTGGCTGTGAATAAAATATAAACTTATGTTCAAGGAATTAAGGGGTCATGCCTAAACTTTATCAGAATTCTGAATTTCAACAATTTTTACGTATTCAAGGAAGAATGAGTATCAAATGCAATTTTTATTTTTAAAATTAAAGAATAAATATTGTTACCACACAGTTAAATACTCATAGTGTCTGCCTTAAGTAGTTGTGGCCATAAAGTAGAATACATGGACACATGTCTGTTTTTATTTTTATATATTCATCTACTTTGGTTTTGTATCAATTTTTTTCTACTTCTATTTCAGACATTATTAATATGAATATGCAGGGTGATTTATTTAAATCTTGAAATTCTCTTTTGAAACTTAACTCTTTCAAAAACTGAAAGGCTGATAATAAAATTGTCTGCATAATTTATATATGACGTGGTCTGTATTCTGTAGAAACTGCCAGACGCGGATCGCGATTTCGTTCTTTTTGGATCTCATCAGCGCGTCGCAGGCAGCTCCGACAGAACACAGACCAACTTTTACCTGCTGTCTTAACAGTGCATTTTAAAAAATACTACCGATGGCGCAGTGAACGCCATCTGTAGCACGATGCTACAGTTTAGGATTACGTATGCTCCAACAGTGCGTTCTAAAACGCACTGTTAAGACAGCAGGTAAAAGTTGGTCTGTGTTCTGTCGGAGCTGCCTGCGACGCGCTGATGAGACCCAAAAAGATCGAAAATCGCGATCCGCGTCTGGCAGTTTCGACTGAATACAGACCACTTCGAATTATTTTATTCGATTAAGCTAACGTGCCTATCACGTTGAGGTTGGCTACGCCGGGATTCGTTTTCAGCAAGTAGATATGCACACAAGTGGACCTTGTTGGAGTATACGTAATCCTAAAATGTAGCATCGTGCTACAGATGGCGCTCACTGTGAAATTTGTAGTATTTTCTAAAACGCACTGTTAAGACGGCAGGTAAAAGTTGGTCTGTGTTCTGTCGGAGCTGNAATGATAAAAAGAAAATTAAATAAAGTATTTCGATGAAAAATCCAATTTTTTTAAAAAAAACTAGTAAAAATCATGAAAATTGCTTAGTTTTGAGTTATTTAAAAAAATGACACATTATGGTTTTAACAACTTAAGAGGTTAAACTACCATAATCAATCATAAAACCCCTTTAACGCAACTGCTATTGCAATATTCCTTTTCTTTTTGTCTCTAGTCCTAGTCCCTAGCCTATCAGTTGTTTCGTTTATTTTATTTGCATTGCATTCTTGTACAGCTCGACCAACGATTCTCAAACAAAAAGAGCGAAAGCGAGTAGAGTGATCGAAATGCTTTTCGGAACCTTCTTGGACTATATACAGTCAGAAGAACAAATAAACCTGATTTCGACGCCGCCTGCGATATTGGTCATTTCGTATTGCACTGATTCTATGCAGACTGTACACGATGATTACTACTCAACAAGTTTAAACAAAAGGAGATCTAAAATAGTTATATCCCTTCCACTTTACCACTGCACATACCTCTGTCGCGGCTACAGATACTTAGGCCGAGCTGTACATCTTTATTAACCAAAAGAAAGTTTTAAATACAGTGTTTTGATGTCATAACGACAAGGACCTTCACCTGACGTTTTGGTGATAATTTACAACTTTAAATACGTTTTTATTTAATGATAATAATTATTATTTTAAAAACAAATTTAAGGGGGATTACGACTACAAATCTGTATCAGCATTAATCGTTTTTCAAAAACTGACTTGCACCATGCTATTTGCTCTCACCGCTCTTTCGCATTCCCTTCTGACCCTCGGGTCGTTATAATGCATGATGACTGTTTGAAATCCGTGTTACGCAAATTTTAACCACTTCACGATTATATTTAAACCGTAAAATAAATCATAAAGATTAAATATAATGAACGGTACATATCAAAATATTGAAGGCTGTATCATAAAACAAGAACTGATGCCTGTTCTTTAGCAGGAGAATCAATTAAATAGCTGTATAACAAAAACTTACCGAATCAGAATATTCCTGTTGATGTAAGGCATTGGTACTCCCTGATCTGCTCTGTCCAGGACTTGAATGTCTCCTGGTCCGATTTCCTGAAGTATTTTCGTCGTCAGCACTCAGGTAATCCTGTAATTTTGTGAAAGGAAGCGACTTAAAGAATGATCGATTAGATTACAACAATGAACTACCTTGTTTTATGAAACGATATAAGTGCCTAAACTTAAGACTACTTCATTAAAGTAAATTTTACAATAATAAAAGTGCGATCGGTCAAAAGTGTGATAGAAACATGTTGGTGCCATGTGCTTTATACCTACTTAAAAAACAAAGATAATCATATTGAGATTTTCTTTGTTTTGCGACATGAGCTAAATAATCTAATAAAACATTGTGATATAATAAGGGTGGGGTATAGGAATAGAAAGAAATAGAGACGATAAATCAATACGATCACCTGGTTTAGATTTCCGTCGCCCTTCTGTTCCGTTATTTTTCCTGGAGGCCACATATTACTAGTTGCACTCGCTGGTCTGTGAATCTGCCTAGAAATAAAAGAAAATCAATTATTTCACATGTATTCCTGCTGGAGCTCTGATTTAAAGGTTATTATGTCACTCACATACACTTCTTGCAATGGAACACTAATACCAATAGGAATATGGAAGAAATTTGTATTGTATTATCTGTACCTATAGGATTTTGATCGCAACAGAAAGATTTAACACGACAAAGGTGAACAATTTAGGTTGAGTTAACTTCATTACTCATTGCAACGAGAACTCAGACGCGACGGGCCCAAGTGCTGGCAGAAGATGTGAGTCAGGACGCCATGGGCGTCGGCGAGAGATGGATTTGTTTTAAAGCGAGCACGCTCCCAGAAAATATTGCTACTATTTGTACATGGTTTTAAACAAAATCCTTCGAAGGGCAATATGCGTACATGTATCAATTTTCCTTAAGGTAAATCAATTAATCTGTTTATTATTATCACAAACAGTACAGAAATTGAACATGAACCATTTTGAATAATAATTTTTTCTGACATCTATTATCAAACAATTAGAGATTAGCAAGTAAGTAAAGAGCTTACAGGAAAAGGAACAATGTTAACAATACTCATGTCAGTAAACCACCATATTGTAATGAATTTTCTAGAACGTCTGCTAACTTAAATAAGTCTCATATCTACACAGTCTTTATCAAATAAGTAGCAATCTTGCAGGAGGTGATGGGACACTATAAAATCATAAAATTAAGTTAATGTTTGGTGGTCCGAAAATTCACAACTTTCAAGAAAAACGCACTTGGCAAGGGCCAATCCGACTCTGGTAGGATTACGCTCGGAAATACGACTAAGAAACGTCGCATTCAATCAGGTGTTACTGAGCAGCATCCGTGTTGTTTTTATTTTGTATTTTTGTACTCACGTAATATTTGTTATTTGACAGATTAGGATAAGTGTGCCTGACGATGTTTATGTTTACAGCCAACCTAGAGTAGTTCTTTGTTCTTTTAACATTGTAGGCTTTTATTACTTATGTATATAGACAATCGAAGTCATTAGAAGTAGGTCAATGTGTCAGTGTCATAGGTTAGTGCACAATAGCATTATTGCATTAACCACTGCGTAAGTTTCGCGACGAACATTTTCCTAGACGCTGGATTCGACGACAGCTCAGAAATAATTTTTGTAGTGTACGTACATGTGTGTGTCTGGGTGTGTTAACTGGTGTAATTAATGCTGCATACTATCAGCGATGAACAAAGTAGTTATTCAATTACTTGTTATAGACAATAGGCATCTAAAGATTAGTGTGTGTAGTAGTGCATTAGTTGTTCCACAACCGTCATTGTTTACATTTTTCATCGATGTAGTTGCTTAATTGTTATCGCAATTTCTCTTTTTTTCGATTCACGCACAGGGCCGGCTTCGGATTGCAACTTCGTCTGGGTTTTTTGTTCCTTTAATCATGCTGCGTATTGCAAATGGTTAACACCCTCCAAAGCTTACTAATTATTTCAAAAGCACCCTGTGCAAGTACTTTATTTACTACAGAAACACTATACATACATACTGTCTATTTGTCGATCAGTTATTTATATTACGTATCACTACAGACACCTCACTGTTTAATTTTCGCGTTTAAGCGACGATACAGTACCTGTAGAGCACGAATCAAGTAGAACCTATGCGGGTAAAATAAGAGAAATCCCAATTGGACTAATTTGATTACTTAGATCATATTTTATTTATTAGATACGTTTAGATTAAGTATGAATTTTGACTTGATTAAAAAAAAATACTAGATTTGGTTTGCTGGGATTTTTAGCTTTTTAAGATTAGATTAAAAAATTAGATTCGATTCGATACAACTCGATTTGTTTGCATTTCCTTAAAATACAAAGTCAATTATAATGTCTAGCTTGTCAAAACAAATTTCTTTTTATGTTTACCCGTATAAGCTCTGTTTGACTTGTAACTAAACTCTGGAGACAAGATACCTTCAAGCGGCAAAAATATGCAGTAAGAAAGGTTGTGTTTTTTGATCGGAATTTTGAGGGCAATAATATGAAAAATCCAGACGGTTTCGATTAGTGCGTGGTCCTTTCAGATTTCTAACTTCTAGCTACTTTTTATATCTAAATTACTCTATTGTAAGGCTAGGTTTTGGTACGAGTAGTAGAAATTAAAATATAAGTGGTATACAACG